CCGGCTTTTCGATGCATATGGCAAGAGCTTCCACAGTACAAAGAAGTCGGAAACACACTGCCTTTGGTAGATTTTTATTTAATTTGTAAATGTCTGTGAATGATGAGGCAGTTGAGATGGTGTGACAGGTATGCTGACGAGGTATTCAGTTATGGCGCTTCCAATTGAACCAGTGCCTGCTCTTTGGAGCCATGCTGGACGATGTTCTCTAATACGTTTTTATATGACCCGCATAGAATGACCTATGTACCTAGCTCCGCAAGAGCAGGTGAACTGACAAATGCACATTGATGTGGTCATATGCGGAAGTCTGTCCTTCCCGTTGCTCCGAAGTATTGGAAGGCTAGAAAATATCACTCTTAGGGTTGCTGCAGGAACAGTCTCTAAGCAAATAATAATTGTATCCATGTAAACTAATGTATATAAATGCGATTGTACAGCTTTTGAGAATGAAATCGCCGGAAAGACAGATATCTTTGCTGAACTTCTTATTCTTTTCGAACTATAATTTGTTTAGATATAGAGTGTTAGAAAAGGAGGGAAAGCCAATCGATGAGGTTGTGAAGCTGCGTCAGATGGGATGGCTAGATAGTGTATTATGCATGTCTAACCACCAGTTTCTTCGACGAGCAACGTCAGCTGACTGGTGTGTCTTTGTGTGCTATAGTGTGCAGCAGCTTAAAACGAGACACTTGTCTGTGCTGAGTTCTACGTTGAAAATCAGTCAGTTACTGATTCAAGGTTGTATATGTGTTAACGTTTGACTGGTGGACTGTATTAGTGCTTTAGTTCAAGTTCTTTTACTTTGAAAAAGCACAGAGAAGTTAGTAGAACAGAAATATATATGCGAGGAAGAGGATGACCAACTGGGGTATGGTGGTAGTAGTGATGGGGGATTCCTGTTTGAAGCTTTTCAGAATCTAATAGATGCTGAATAGGGAATACACCGCCGTCAACTTGAAGGATTTCTTGATCGTGTTATAAAGAGTTATGTTATAACGCTGTGTTACTGGGTTCGTCTAGCTTAACTTGAATGAGCCTCCAGAACATGACACTATGTCCCAACTGGTCCTATTCTCCAGACCCTAATAAGATAAGAAATTTGGAGGATAGTTCAGCTATAACACTGTGTCCAACACTCAGCTCCCTTTCTCCTAACTGAATAAAAATTTTGATTTTATCTAGTTTCTAACGCTTTGTTACTTTATGCCGTTGAGTATTACGTAATTTATAAATTTTATTTCTGCTTTCGAAGCTCTACTCTGAGTAATTATACCAATGACGTTACCAGCCCTCCTATTACTCAATAGTGGACTACTATACATTTTCGATAAGTATAAATGTGACTATATGCGTCGGTGGCATAGCGGTTAGGACGCTCGCCGACCATTCATATGGTCCGGAGTTTGATCCCTGGCCACAGACGCACTCCTTTACCTCGCTAAACCAGAAATAATGCTGGTAAACAGGAAAGGTTGGGCATGAGGCTAGCAACCTCATCCTGTAAAAATGAACACTGCTACAGAAACTTCAAGCCACTAGCTTGAAGGTGCCCTATGTTCCCCTGGGGAACGTGAAGGAAAGAAAATAAATAAATGTGACTGTACAGCCCTTGAAGATGATTTCGCCAATAAAGAAAATTTTATTCGTTCAATTATCATAAAATAATATTAATGACATGCACGACAAACATGTAAAGAGTGATGACAACACCAACAATAAGGAATCTAAATCATCAGTATTACTTCCATAAAAAAAAGGAATCTTGGAAACTACCCTAATCAGAATTCTTAACAAGGCAGGAATAAGGAAAGTGACTGGTATTCAAACCAACCACAAACTCAATAAGAAACAAGCTTTGTCTGTTAAAGCATCAGTCCTTTGGAGCCTTTAAAACAAAACAATCGAGTTTATCTAATACCCTGCTTGAATGATTGTCAGGTCAGAGTACTAAAACAGAGTCAGTCAGACTACCAGAGCATAAAAACCTAACAAAATTTAAACCAGTTGACCCGAATAAGATAAGAAATCTAGAGAATAGTTCAGCTATGGCACTTACGACATACAATTGCACAAAACCACATAATAAGATAGTGGGATAGGATGACATGTTTCAAATCTAATATAACAGCAGGATGGAGGGAGAGATTGATAACGGAAGCTTTATTCATCGAATCAAGTGAGAGAGAATACGTGTAATAGGAATGATTCAACACCTGTCCACCTGGAAATCTGGAAAATTCTACTACCTCTACGATGAATAAAACCGGATGAAGTCAATTATAAAACTAAAGTTTCGAAATTGTGTAAATGCAACTGACAATATGATTATGAACAACAATAATAATAAAGCTTTATTTCCAACAATATGTCAACACATGGTATAAAAATTTTCAAGTATTGGTTTTGTAGGGACTGGGTTTGTGGCCAGTTTGCACCATATGGTCCAGTGTCGAATTATTAATGGTTTTCACTATACCTCTACTTAGCCTTTGTGGGAGATGTTCTCGAGTGAGCACGGAAAATCAAGTTCCTAGAGCAACAGCCGATATATGAATTTGATTGTGTAATATAAATTATTATTATGTTTTTATTCCTTTACGTTCCCAGTGGATCATAGAGGGCTTCAAGCTGGAGCCAGCTTGAAGTTTAGGCAGTAGTGGTGTTTATTTTTATGGGATGGGGTTGATAACTAGCCTGACGCCCAACCTTGCCTCCTTACCAGTCTTAATGCTGGCTTAGCAAGGTAAAGGAGTGCGTCAGTGGCCAGCGGTCGAACTCCGGACTACATGAGGCGTGGTTGGCGAGCATTCTACCACTGTGCCACTGATGCTGTCTGTCTGTCTGTTTTCCACATAGAAATTTGCACAAATGTGCGACACTTCAAGTCGCCAGACTCCACTCCATGTAGCACACAAAGCCAGAGAAGAAGAAAGTACAAGAAAAACATAATAGAGACAGTGAGCAGAGGTATGAGACAAAGGAATAGTAATAACGAAGAACAAAAGAGTTTCATTGGAAATCATAAGTCACAAGGAGTGGATGCATCTGCGCTGAGAACGATCAATTTGAGCCATGTCACCAATTGTTTCCAGCCCTTATTGGTTTTTACCGTCCCGAGGACCCCAACCAGTCAGGAAGTCTACACCTTCCTACGTGGCCAGCTTAAACTAAGTGCTGTGGATTTCATTGACTGGCGCCATATTTTGGTTTGACCGCCTCTAGCTCTTTTCCAGCCTGACCCGATATCAGCTAACATTGCCTGTTATCTAGGACGGCGATGACTAGGCATACGTAACACATGTCCTAACCATCTCAGTCGATGTAATTTCACAGCCCCGTCGATTGATTTCCCCTCCCACCTTACCTAGCACTCGACTGACGCCTAACCTCAGTATTGCTCACTCTATTATACCACTTCACACAGGAGGGAGATAGAATGCAGGCACCTATGATCAAAGACAGCCAGATAGCCAAACTTTTCATGTCTTCCACTCTCAGTGGCCACTCTCACTCACAGCCATAAAGGAGGACGGAGCGAACTGATGAGCAGTACACACACCCTTTGGTTGACAGCCAGCCAGCCAGCCGGATATCACGTCTACTTAGCCAAAGACGGCGTAAACTGGCATATGCGAAACTAGCCACTGACACTACTATGCCACCGACACACAAACATATCACATAAATAGTAAAACGTTTATACCATAAAAAAAAAATATAAAATCTATGCACCAACTTACATGGATATGTAGCTCTTGTCAACATTTCTTGTAATGATGTTAAATTTTGTTCTTTAGGTGCATGTAGAACAACCAGTGTTGATCCCAAGAGACAAATACAACAACCAATTCCACTGATACAATTTAAATGTTCATTTAAATAACGTACACTCAGTAGTGTACTGACAAGTACAGACAGAGCACCCAATGGTGTGACAAGAATAGCTGGAGCAAATGCATAAGCAACAAAATTAGCAAATTCTCCAATACCCATTAGAATAAAACCCATCCACCACATCCATTCACGTAGATAAGTTAATGAACCATCACCTAGAAAGAATAGATAAATTAAAAAAATAATAGAAAAATGTCACCATTGAGTATACCAAAAACAACTAAAGTTCCAAATGGAATATCGGCGTTTCAACAGCACAACACTATTTCAATCTATTCTCTACGATCTTTCCATCCATCTTCATAGGATCTGCTCTACTTCAGTGTAGGACCTATACTTAAATCATCGCTTCATATTCGAGTTCTATTCAACTGCCTTTAATTCCTAGAGGAGTGTAGGGTTTCAGCCACACGTCTCCATTGCGTTCGGTTCTCTGTCAACATTTTCATCGTCTGTCTTTACATCTGCCCACATGCCCCATGTCACCCTCGCACTGACAACCAACTCGCCACTTCCCATTCAGGTTCCACTCGACTGATGGCCTATTGTATGATGTCATTCACTTGATCGCTTGTTTCCTCAGAGTATGAACAATCCACCTCCATTTGTTGCACAATCAGTTCCTGGTAGGTTTGCTCCCAGAGATCCCTCCCTGTTGCTGATCTTTCTTGGCCGGCCATTTGATCTTGAGTAGTATTAAACGAAGAGACAGCTGTTGATGAAGGTGTGTAGTTTGTTCGAAGTGCCATTCGTGACGCGGCGAGGTGCCAAGTCTCTGATCCGTATAGTAGGTGGCGCTGACTTTACTTTGGAGTCTAAAATCCGTATCCTATTCTTCATACTGAGTACTGTTGACCTTCACACAGACTTGAGAGTAATGAAAGCTTGCTTGTTTTGCTTTCCCGATCTTTGCTTTGATATCCTCAACAGTTCCGTCCGCATGTAGTTGAAACGATACTTCCCAGATAGGTAGGTAGGTAAAGGAGATTACTTCTTTCAGATTATCATAATAATATTATTATTGTCCATAAATAAATTGTGTTTGAAATGTTGTCACCCAGTAAATACACTTGTGTTTCCCCTTATTCTTATTTTTTCTTTAGGATGCTTTCACTACTGGCCTTCTACCAATTCTATCCTTTTGGTTCTTTTGGTTTCTAATCATTTGGTTAATTTGTGCAATTACAATACAAATGTATTATTTAAATCGTGCACTTGACCTGTTCAACACAGGAGTGATTACACCTCTGCTGTATGTATTTTTTACTGGTTTTGTTATCATTGCATCGGCTATACTATTCCGTGAATTAAATGTCTTAGATTATATGGATTATATTGGTTTAATACTTGGCCTGCTGTGTACTGTTCTTGGCATCTTTATGATAACTGTACTCAAGGTAAGTGGATGGTGTTTCAGTGTCTTTGTGTCTGCGCTTGTGTGTGTGTGTGTTTGTTGGTGTGGGTTCTCGAGATTTTCAGTGAAATGTCATACAGGATTCATACTGGCTGCCTGATTAAAAGCTTGGGCTACCAGCAAACTTCCATCTCTCTCTCCTTCTCTATTGCACATATATCTTCTCTCCTTTGGTTTGTTTTAATCGATTAAGATATCACCTCTACTCATGGTATTATTTACTCTTGTGTGCATTTAAAATATTTACAAACTTCTGTTTTCAATAGTTGGATTGTAAGGATTAGATTTGTTTGTTTACGAGTTTGACCACGGATTTATATCAGTTAGAGAACCATTAGGAAACCAGCATGAAGCACTGAACAGCTGTTTCATCCTAAATTTGGGAATCATCGTCAGTATGCACCCATCGGGGTTCGAACCCAGGATTCCTGTTTTGCAAAATCCTACTAAACTTGAGGAATAACGTGAATGTGGATATGGCAACATGTTCCAATACAATATGAGATAATTGTTCTTCAGTTATGTATGTCCTTTGGTGTCAAAATGTACTTCTGAACATCTTACAAGGTTGGCTCTCTGTTATGTACTCGTCGCCAAATTATTATTATGTACTGGTCGAGAATTTAATAGTCCTGACGCAAGAAGACGGAAATCAGAAGACCACTAGGTTTGCGATGATACTTCTATTTCCAAACACAAGGAGAATGCAAAAGTGGTGTCACACCAAAGTAAGTAAGTCACAAGATTGTGAATGCAAAATATATATGAAATGTTCCAGACAAAGTGTGTGAACAAATCATTAGACAGTCTTAACATGAATGGCTAATTATAATGAAGTATCGATCCATATATACATAGCGAAATATAGCAGACATGTCAACAACCACCATATATGGATATATGTCACCAAGCAACGGACTGTCAACAAACACTCATATTATATATAATATAATATAAGGGGAATATACATTGATAAAGGAGACAGGTTCATCAAAGTGAAATGGTCACAGACTAAGCGAGCAAACAGAAAGAGAGACCAACATACACACACACACACATAAATATATATGTGGATACATATCACTCTCACAGTTAGATATCATAGATTTCTTGAAGGAAGGTGGCAATGCAGATATATCACATAATGGAATAATGGTTTGTGCTTCAGTTCAAAGAGGGAGCATTGTGTCACAGGAATGGTATACTGTCAATTAATCAATATCTTACTTGAAGATATTGTACGAAGGGAAAATATCATGCAATAAACTCGTCTGAAAATTCTGTACATTTTATGAATAATCTTCAGAATAAAGGTATTATTATTACAAAATTCAAAAAGTAGTATTAATAGGGAAATAGTTGAACTTGGAATTATATTCTCAATAGAAAGACGAGGCGATGGAGAAGTTTCTTCTGTGTACATAATTCAGAAGTTGGAATTCATGGACCATTGGATCGGGTCCCAGTGGCCTAATGGTCTACGAGCTCCAACCTTGTTTTATATAGACATAATTGAAATCGACCTCATGACCCGTCTGTATAATATGCTTCGCTATATATGATGTTGGAGACATCCATTTCTGCGACCAATTGTATGTGGTGATTTAATTTGATGTCGCGACCACTTGGGAATACGTTCTCACCTAGCTCCACATCTGCCCACATACTTTCATCGCCTCTTCTCTTGACCTCCTCCATGTCACCCCATCCTCGAACTGACGACCAACTAACTCGCCACTTCCCATTCGGCTTCCACTCGACCGATGGCCTATTATGTGATGTCATTCACTTGATGGTTTGTTTTCTCAGAGTATGGTCACCAATCCACCTCCATTTCTTCCTGCTTATTTGTTGCACAATTGATTCCTGCTGGGTTGGTTCGTTCATTGCCAGAGATCCCTCACTATTGCTGATCTTTTCTAGCCGTCCATCTGATCTTGAACGAAGACAGGTGTTGATGAAGGTTTGTAGTTTGTTCGAAGTGTCCTTCGTGATGTGGGACCAAGTCTGTTATCCATATAGTAGCACTGACTTCACATTGGAGTTGGAAATCCACATCTTTTTTTTTCATGCTGAGTGCTGTTGATCTCCTCCACACAGACTTGAGGGAAATGAAAGCTTGTCTTGCTTTCCCAATGCTCACTGTTCTAATATCGTTATTTCCGTCCACCTGTAGTAGGAACAATGCCTGTCAAATCGGTAGATAAAGGAGGTTGCTTCTTTCAGATTTCTCCCATTTACGCTGGCTGATTGTTGTCTGTTGCTGTTGCTATTGGCCAGGAATCTTCATCACCTACCTCTGTTTTCTCTATGTTCACCTGAAGGAAGTCCCATTTTTGATGCTTCTTCTATCTCTAACTTGTTGCTTTTCACTCGCATATCTTCCAGTTTGTGGAAAATCAGACATATATCATCGGCTAAGTCCAGATCCTCCAAGACCGATGGGTCCTCCCTATGTATGTGTTTCCACACATACATGTAAACTGATAAACACAATAGGATACGACACTATCGTTCGGATGCTGTACACAATCTGACCTGTATTGTCATAATATATCATACTTTCTTGCCTTCTGTATAACTCTGTGTGTGTGTGGGTGTGACCAAAGGGTGTTGCACAAATACGCACATTACACATTTCAGATAAACATAACGTCTTCTTCTTGGTGTTGTCGAAAATTACTCTTGTTATAATATCTTATTATTATTATTATTAATTATTATATCCTTTAGTTCCTAAAGGAACATAAGGCTTCAGCCGCGTGTCTCCATTGCGTTCGGTTTTCTGCTAACTTTTTCACCCCGCTCCAAGTCTGCTCACATGCTTTCATCTCCTCTTCACATGACCTCCTCCAAGTCACCCTTGCACTGACGACCATCTCGCCGCTTCCCACTCTCTCGGGTTCTACTCAAGGGCTTGTTTAGTGATATCACTTGATAGTTTCCTAAGCCGAAGGCCTTTTCAAAGTTGGTGAAGTTGAGGTAGTGTGGCGATTTGATCAATACATGACTTGTTTCTCCTGAATCCAGCTTGTTCCGGTCGAAGCTTTTCATCCAGGTTGGCTTGTTTGATTCTCTCCAGGATGATTCGGCTTATTATTTTGCTTGGGATGGACAGGAGCATAATTCCGCGTCAGTTTTTGCATTGACCTACAACGCGCCCAACAATACCAACAACGGAAGCAGAACTACCAGTGAACACTGACCCCCCGACGAAATCAGAAGTCCTGAATGCAATCAAGATGCTTAAGGCTGGGAAAACACCAGGACCAGATGGAATCCCAGCAGAAGCTTTCAAAATAGACCCAGAGACAACAGCGGACTTGATGACGCCACTGCTGGAGAAGGTGTGGATGGAGGGCAAAGTACCCGAGGATTGGAAGAACGGATACTTATTCAAACTACCAAAGAAAGGAGACCTAAGTCAATGTAAAAACTGGCGTGGAATTATGCTTCTGTCCATTCCAAGCAAGATACTAAGTCGCATCATCCTGGAGAGAATCAAACAAGCCCTAGATGAAAAACTTCGTCCGGAACAGGCCGGATTCGGGAGAAACAAATCATGTATTGATCAAATCGCCACTCTACGGATCATCATTGAACAAAGCTTGGAATGGCAGTCACCTCTCTATCTCAACTTCATCGACTTTGAAAAGGCCTTCGACAGCGTCGATCGAGAGGTGATTTGGCAACTACTTCGCTACTACGGGGTCCCATCGACAATTATACATCTCATCCAACAGTTATACGACAATGCTGCATGCCAAGTAATCCACAACGGGAAACTTACGGAAGCCTTCGAAGTGAGGATGGGAGTGAGGCAAGCTGGCTGTCTACTATCACCAATGATCTTCCTGATTGCAATTGATTGGATAATGCGACAGACAACGGCAACCAACGAGGGAACAGGCATAAAATGGACTGACACAAAAGACTTGGAGGATCTGGATTTCACCGATGATATATGTCTGATTTCCCATAAACTGGAAGATATGCAAGTGAAAAGTAACAAGTTGGCAGAAGAAGCATCAAAGATAGGACTTCAAGTGAACATAGATAAAACAGAGGTGATGAAGATTCCTAGCCAACATCAACAGCAGCAACAACAACAGACAACAATCAGCATAAGTGGGAAGAACCTGAAAGAAACAACCTCCTTCACCTACCTGGGAAGCATCAATTCAACTACAGGCACGGAACTGACGAGGATATCAAAGCCAGAATCGGAAAAGCAAGACAAGCTTTCATTACTCTCAAATCTGTGTGGAGGTCAACAGCCACTTCTCAGCATCAAAAATAAGATCCGGATTTTCAACTCCAATGTAAAGCCAGTGCCACTATACGGATCAGAGACTTGGCGAGTCATAAAGAGCATCTCAAACAAACTTCAAACCTTCATTAACAGTTGTCTTCGCTCAATACTCAAGATCAGATGGCGGCCAGAAAAGATCAGCAACAGGGATCTCTGGCATTGAGCGAACCAACTCAGCAGGAACCGATTGTGAAACAAATAGGCAGAAAGAAATGGAGATGGATTGGCCATACTCTGAGGAAACCATCAAGTGACATCACTAGACAAGCCCTCGAGTGGAACCCGAAAGGGAGGCGGCGAGTTGGTCGTCCAAGGGTGACTTGGAGGAGGTCATGCGAGGAGGAGATGAAAGCATGTGGACAGACCTGGAGCAGGGTGAAAAAGTTGTCAGAAAACCGAAGTCAATGGAGGTGCGCAGCTGAAGCCCTATGTTCCTCTAGGAACTAAAGGATACAATAATAATAATAATAAGTCTCCCTTCTTATGAAGTTTGAATAAGTATCGTTTCTTCCAATCCTCGGGTACTTTGGCCTCTTTCCACACCTTCTCCAGCAATGGCGTTGTTATGTACTCGTCGAGTAGTTAATAGTCCTGACGCGGAAATAGGGAAATCAGAAGACCACCAGGTTTGCCATGATACTTGTATTTTCCAGACAAGGAAAGTAAATGTCACACAAGAGTTTCAGTGAATAGGTACGAAATGTACGGACAAGTCTGAACAAGAATCCAGTACAAAAGTATATATGAAAATGACTAATACACATGAACCAATAATTAGCCAGTCTTAACATGATTGGTTGTAATGTCATGTGACAACAAGGTCATACATGATTATTTAGTTAGTGGACAGACAAAAGCATATTGTCAGTTATAATGGAATATCGATCCATGCACACACAGCAAAATATAATAGACTGTCAAAAACAAACACCCAGATCATGTGGATACATATCAGGCGTCATCAAGTCCCCTGTTGTCTCTGGGTCCATTTTCAATGCTTCTGCTAGGATTCCATCTGTTCCTGCTGCTTTTACAGCTTTTAGGTTCTTGATTGCCTTCAGAACTTCTAATCTCATCGGGGGGTTGATGTTCACTGGTAGTACTGCTTCCGTTGTTGGGCGTGTTGTAGGTGACTTGTAGGTGATTTAGAAGTCTTTTGAACTGTTCAGCCCAATGTTTTTCTTAACCTAACTTAACTTAATTCAACTTTTCTTAACTTACTAAAAATTTATGTTATTTTTCTGCCTTCATAGGATTTAAGTTTAACATGGACAAGTCTTCGAACAATTCTGTCTGGTGGAAAATATTCCGCCTATTATTCATCATCCAATGGTTCACTTACCAATGGACATGTTAAACAGTCTCATCGGCGTCGACGTACCGCTGCTGGGAGCATACTTCAAAGAAAATCAAGCATTGTCAGGGCAACAACAAAAACACTTCATTGTAGACATTTATCAATTGATAAACTAAGTGCTGAAAAACTCATCTCTTCTAATCATTATTCAGATACTGAACAAGCTGATAGTGAAGTACTATTACTGCCAACAATTAATGATAATTGTAATGATAATAACAATAGTCATTCTTCTCATGTATTATCCGAATCAGATATATCAGTGTCAAGACTACGCACACCGCTTGATTCACCTCGTTCGTGTACTTCAATGAATAATGGTGCATCCACCGGCACAACTCCTACTGCTTCGAATACTACGACTATGACTACTACCTCTACAATTGCTAAATATCCTATCACACGAAATAATAATAGTGGTAGTAATAGTTTAAGACAATCAAAACAAGATTTATTGAATATTTAATTTTGTCCAATAGGCGTTTAAATCGCGTAGAGGCGCGTAATTCAAATTTCAAGGTCGTGTGCAGGTGTTGTCGCATTTTTGTTTTCTTCTTTCTTTCAAATTCATGATTTTGCCTTTCAATTTGTGTGTTTGTTTGTTTGTGTTTTGAATATTTGCGCGTGTACACATTGGTCAAAAATGAGTTTGTTTTATTAATTAATTATCTGTGATCTTGTTCAATGTGTCAATGTGTTTAAGTGTGCTAGATAGAGAGAGAGAGAGATTAGTCATAACATCAATTGTATCATGACCACTGATATTGTTCTTCTTATTCTTGTACACATATATATAGAATAAACAATTACTGTATTCATTCTTCATTGTAGTTTTGTTATTATTATTATTACTATTACCTCTCCTCATACTAATGTTGTCCTCATTTATGGCGTATTTTTGTAATCCCACTGGTTGTGTCTTTATCGATCCAAATGAGTGGCTGGCTATGACTAATTTGATTTTGTCTAAGTTGTTTTAATCAAACTTAGGCTGTGAATGTGTGTGTGTGTGTGTCTACTCTTGCGTCTATCTACCCGTCTGTCTGTCTATCTATCCATCTTTGTATTGATTACTTCTCATGAATAAGAGAGAGAGAAGTAAAGAGGTCAATAAGTGTGCACTGTGTAATTTTAAGTTGACTATAATTCGATTATTGTTTGTGTTTATCGTATAAAAAAGAATATATATACCCTTAGACAATCAATTGTTTGTGATTATGATTGTTATTACTGATATTCCTATTATTCTTAATCAATAAACTATTTTCAACGGTTGGTTTGCAGAGTGGTTTAATTGATTTTTAGACTGATTGCGAACTAAGTGACTAACTTACTCACTCACTCATTGATATCTGCGAGAGAACCATTGAAAAACATCAGCAACAGAAGCGCAGGGATTACTGGAGAGGTGTTTCATCCTCGAGTTAGGATTGTTCAGTAGAATGCACCTTGAAACTTCTTCAGGTTACAAGGGGAACGTGTATACCAGTAAGTATACCACCGACTGGTTCGAAATCCAAGATCTTCCCTCTTGATTCAGTCCACCAGACAATCAGGAATATCATCGGTTGTAGTAGACAACTTTGACTACTTACAAAACGCTTCACAAAGCTTTCTGTTGTGAAACATTTTGATATGCGCTGGTGTCATTATAAATCTCTTTTGGATGAGGTTCATAAAATATTTTGAGATGGTAGTCACTTCGTAGTGCTGAAGCGGTCAAAGTGGATTATCGAACTTTTATTATTGTTCAACGGGTAATTGTGTACGGATCGAAGACTTATCGCGAACAAACTACACACCTTCATCAACAGCTGTCTTCATTCAATACTTCACTCAAGATCAGATAGCTGGCCAGAAAAGATCAGCAACAGGGAGGGATCTCTGTCAATGAACGAACCAACCCAGCATGAACCAATTGTGGAAGAAATATTCAGGAAGAAATAGAGATGGATTAGATTGTGGCCATACTCTGAGAAAACAAACCATCAAGTGAGTGACAGCAAAGTTAAACTTTCGACACCACTAACAACCAATCAGCGAACGACCTTGAACGGACCAATCACATTAAATAGGCATATATGATGAATGGAAACGTATATTTATAGAAAAAAGCATAAAAAAGGATAAAACGGTTACAAAGGGTATCTTTCTCGAACCTGTGAGACAAAAACATCTCCCAGTTTAGCATGTGACTGTCAATGGAGAAGTCACGCCACATCCTGTACTTATATTCATCTGAATGCCTATAAATGAGATCCATTTATAGCTGTTATCCTGTTTTTCAAGCGGCGCCAAAAACCTTCAATGGAATTCCTATGAGTCCACGTAACGGGATCCACCCAGCAAAACAAGTGATCTTCTCTATTTTACACGAAGCAATATCTCTGCAATGCTGGTATACCAGCTGTGGTGTACCACTGAACTGTTGAGAAGAGGCTATTCTCCGTCTGGGTAGCTGCTGCTCTCATTGGCTGTTTCAACACCCAGTAGTTGCAAATATAGAAAATCTGGGTTAGGGAGAGATGCGACCTAGCGAAAAAAGTTCCTATGAAATATTAAAATTATCAGCTTACCCCCTTTAATGTTATCACGCTTCAAACATATAGCACAACTATGAACAAACCCATCAGTTGATTTGCTATAGCTTTCTGAAGTCAGGATACCAACACATGAACAAGTTCGCTCCTTCCGGAGCAACCCTAAATCCAGGCAATACTAGAAAACACTGTCCTCCTCGAATTGCAACCGTAAACTTGTAAGGTAACGCATTAGAAATGAATCAAGCGCTATACAACATTGAACTACATTCGTGAATCTCATTCGATAATTCGCTGATTGGTAGTTAGTGGTGTCGAAAGTTTAACTTCGCCTGAGTGACTTCAGATGCCAGACCATCGGTCGAGTAGAACCCGAATGGGAATTGGCAAGTCAGTTGGTCATCAGTCCGAGGGTGGGGTGACATGAAGGAGGCCATGCGAAGAGGAGAAGAGGGAAAAATGTGGCCAGACGTGGAGCCAGGCGATGAAAACGTTGGCGGAGAACCGAACGCAATGAACACGTTTGGCTAAAGCCCTATGTTCATCTAGGAACTAAAGGAAACAATAATATAATAATAATACAATCGCATATATATATAATACATATATATATATATATATATATATATATATATATATATATATATATATACAATTAAGGAACAAAAAAAGCAAGAAAAGGACGGAAGAAAATTATTCGGTGTTAAGATAGTTCAGGTCCACTGTAGATTTAATGACTAAACAAACTTCTTTTGTATGCAGAGTTGAGGACTTAAGATGTGAATTGCCATTGCTTCTACGGTTTGATTTGTACTCTTGTTGTTTTGTCGGTTAGCTTAGTGTCGTGATTCGATCAGGTATTCAAGAATATAGCTTCTGTTGTGGGGCGGGGACCTTTTTTCCCCTATATAAAACCATGTGAAGTTAAGTGTTCGATGATACATTTGGATAGTAAACGCTGGTCACGGTCGATATACCTAGCTCTAGAGCTTGAGGAAGTAATTGGTAGATGCACACTGATGATGCCAACAATGGTAGCTTATCCTTCACATTCATGAGAATCATTGACTTCATAAAGAAGGTTATTTGGAGTTCAACCGCGAAGAAGACTTTCTTCAGTGAGCAGAACAGGCGGTTTCTTAGTATTCTTGCCAATGAGTGTCCGTTAATTAGATCACATCACTCAACTTGCTTATTTAATTTAGTCTTTAACCGATTAACGAAATTTGTTATTTGCAATTTACAATTCTAATGATACAACTGATAGGACCCGGTTCATCTCACTAATCGTGTGATTTATCTTGTGATGTGGTTCTATCATTTCTCACCCAAATTGTGATTTAGTGTGTGAGAGATCAATTCATTGTCTCTTGTTCTCACCTTTGTCAGGTTGCCAACTAACCAGAATAGAAATTTCCAGCCAATAAAAACAGTTCACTCTCATGGTTGTGAGCCAACTTTATTGTGATAAATCAAATATATAAATTCATGAAAAATCCCCATTCGAACATTAATAGACAGAAGACCAATAGTTCAGTGAAGAGTCTCTTTTTGGCGGCGAATTCATTTTTTATAACTGTACTACTTTTATGTGTGTGTGTGTGTGTATATATATATATCAGTTCACCTGTTGCTGTTGAGCCAGCTAGGTGGTACATCGATCGTTCGACGCGCATCCTATCAAAGAACACTATCCTCCAGTGTGGCTGCAAAAAGGATGTAGCAGCCGTATAAGGAGTGTAATAATCAGAAATCTTGTCATCACTAGTCCATTCCATCTCAACAAACGCCTCCTGCTTCAAAGTAATCTACAAAGTGAAGAACAACTTACCAAAGACAGTACGTTTCCGTCTTCTTTGCATTTCAGAAACTTTAGCCATTCAGTTGGAAGAACCAGAACTATGCACACAAAATAAAATTAGTCAGTCACTTCTACTGTCATGGTAACAACTCTGTTAATTTGAATTTACTTTCGCTTGTATGCTAATTTTTCTAACTACTTAAAACTCTTGCGTAATAACGTATGTTATTTCGTTTCCTTGTACACACCCTAAGCACAACTCTATCAACAAACTCTTCATGTTATTACGTAACTCTCCTTTAACAATCGTTAGTGACAACTCATCACTTTTTTTTTTACTGCCCTCTTATACCAACATCCAATTCATCTGAACGCCTTTCGTATTACGTAACTCCATCAAAACTAATTGTATTTTCGTTTGTCAAACTTATTGTACATAGACACATACAAAACAACTATATGTATTTGCGCTTGTACAGCGATGAAAATTAATTCGCCTCCGAAAAGAGACTCTTCGCCGGACTACTGGTCTTCTGTCTATAAATATATAGATATGATGTTTTAATAATAATAATAATAATAATAATAATAATAATAAGTTGCTTTATTCCAAAACAATACTTGTTATGATACAGAATGGAATTCTCAGCATTTCACTACATACAGTATTGCATCCAGTTAGTACATTAACAATAAATAAAATTTTCAAGTATTGCTTTTGTAGGGATTTTGTTTGATTGCATGAAGGATTTAATCATGAGCTGACATCAGTTAGAGAACCATTGGAAAACCTGGGAGTACTGAACAGCTGTTTCGTCCTAGTTTGCGACTCTTCAGCAGTACGCACCCACCGGGATTCGAGCCCAGGACCTTCTGGTTACAAGGCGAGCTCGTAGACCATTGAGCCACTGGGACCCGATCCAATGGTCCTTGAATTCTAACTTCTGCCAATTCACGACATAGCGCGACCACTTCGCAATGTCTTCTTCGATGAGTTACTGCCTCATCTTCGACCTGCTGTACCCTACTGGTCACGGTTTCCCACTAGAACCCCAGGTGAGCTCACTAGTGACTGGTTTTCCAGTGGTTCTCTAACTGATGTCAGCTCATGATTAAATCCTCCATGCAATCAAACAAAATCCCTACAAAAACCAATACTTGAAAATTAATCTGATGCTCACTAGTGACTGGCCCTATTCAGGCAGTTAACCTGGGGTTCTAGTGGGAAGCCGTGACCAGTAGGGTACAGCAGGTTGAAGATGAGGCAGTAACTCATCGAAGAAGACATTGCGAATTGGTCGCGCTATGTCGTGAACTGGCAGAAGTTAGAATTCAAGAACCATTGGATCGGGTCCCAGTGGCTCAATGGTCTACGAGCTCGCCTTGTAACCAGAAGGTCCTGGGTTCGAATCCCGGTGGGTGCGTACTGCTGAAGAGTCCCAAACTAGGACGAAACAGCTGTCCAGTACTCCCAGCTGGTTTTCCAGTGGTTCTCTAACTGATGTCAGCTCATGATTAAATCCCCCATGCAATAAATAAAATTCTATATAGATTAAGGGTAATCTCAGTTCACTATGACAACAACATTTTGGCATGTCAGTAGCAAAGCCAAAATTGAACAGAGTGTTTGAAGGTGTTACAAAAGTAGATGCTAGCATACTTACTGGCGTAAGCGGTAACAAAATGGTCGAGATATACAGAATGTGAGAGAACGAAGAAGAATGTTTTAAATAGCGTTTGTAAGGAAGAAAGAAACAAAGCAGCACATAACAGAGAAAAAAGAGAAAAGGAAAGAAAGAAAGAGAACGCTTTACCTATAAATCATATGAGTTGGAAAGATGAGATCCAATTGTTCTACTGACTATTTAATAAGTCATAAGTTTCACGCCTAATGCTTTCTACATCGCACAGAACACGAGCTAAGTAGGGTATGGTTGAGTTTTTGTACTTGCTAGTGTGAGCAT